CATTTCAAAAGCAGGTAAAAAATGTAAGTAGAAAAATAGGAATCATCTTTGGTGGGAAGGTAATAGCGTTCCGTGCGCCTTCGGCATTTAGTCATGCCGGCCACATGACCACGGAGACGTCTTTGGACAGCGATGGCTCTTCGGCTTTGAGACGGAGATGACCTAGAGTCGGAAACGACTAACACAAATGTGCGAGGGGAACCTTTACTGTTACCTATCCTTTTATTATTTTTACAAATAACTCAAGGCGGCGAACATACCTAATACTCCTTCCTCCTCGTGTTTTCCTCATAACAAGCCTGTTTCATTTCTCCACCACATTTGAAAAGACAGGAAACAATAATGCCATTTCTTAAAGAACAGACTGAGCCTATTTTTTTTAATTAGCATACAGTAACCCAACAGCCCATTTTAAGATTGTGACTGGATTTAGGGGAGGAAGAAACTGCAGGGCTAGGACAGAGATCTCTTGTTCCAATCGATTATTTTAATTAGGAGTCTCTTTCATTTATATTGCCTCACTATTAAAACAAATAGATTGATGTCCTTTCCTTGGACTTGATAAGGAAGCAACAAGAAAAAACACGGCAACGGGAAATAAAAACAAATCTAAAAAACAAGACAGGATAACGGGGAAAATGTCAACAGAAGATTCTGATTGCAAAATTACCTTATCATTTTACTTATTGCTGTTGGGGGGGAGGGGGAACACCCTCAGTGACAAGATCATATTTCACAGAAACATCTCAGTGCAAGGCAGAATAAGAGCTCTGGGCTGTGTGATTGATTGCACCTGAGAATATAACAAACCAAATATTACATCAAAGTCATAAAAGTCTTCAGACTGGAGTTCCTTCAGCTTGGTTTCTGGGGGACGTATTTAGGAGGTGAACCGTTGGCTCCAAATCAAGCATAGGTTCCTCTTGAGTCATTTTACCTTCTTTCTGCCTCTGCGCAAGGATCATGGCCCGCAGCAGGGGTGGATAGAGGACATACCGGATTTTTTCCTCTTCCTCAGGAGGGGTAAATTGCTTAAAGGCTTCCTCCTCGTGTTTTGGCACCATGCGCCAGTCGTGGTACATGACTTTGTCTATTTCTCTCTCTTCGGTTTCGGGTTTACCTAAAGAAGCAGTTGAGAAGATGTAGAGAGGTCCATTTAGGCACGCAAATCTTCCCAGAATGGAACACACCATGAAAAGTAAGATTTGTAAGCCCCAAATGTGCATGCAGTTTGCTTTACTTGTTATTTCATTTTTTGTAATTATTTCTGTGTTTCTTTATATAATACATAGCACCACATGATTGGACTCTGTGTGTGTGTGTGTGTGTGTGTGTGTGTGTGTGTGTGTGTATAGCTATATAGATATATATAGATATAGATATAGATAGATATAGATATAGATAGATATAG